ATCGCAATGATGGACACACAACTTGGTTTCATACCCATGCATATTTAATATTTTAAGGTGGAATTCCCTCGTGAGGGTGTTATGGAATTTGACGATTTTACAGAGGGTATTTAGACAATCAATGTCAGGACGTATTTCTGCGTGTTTCAGTATTAAATACAGGGTATTGCTTACAAGATTTTTATTTAAGTAAAAGAACGTCATCAAAAAGGGAAAATTTCTACTTCTTGATTTGTCCGAAATATGGAGCCAAATGGTACCAGGGAACTTTTTTAATGATTACTTTTTTCACTAATGATTGTCTATTAACTGTAGGGCTATGATAGCCCTAAAAATTAGGATTCCGGTTCGAAGTATGCTGCGACCCAAGGAGTACTTGCCCGTAAAATCTCTTTCATCGTAAGTCCTGTGGCCGGTCGCTGAGCAGTACAGGGATCAGGAGAAAATTTTCCTTCCCTTCAGATTTATGTCTAAATTGAGGAAGTGTAGGATCTGATCTAGAAATGAGTTGGCCTCCCGGACTTTACTTCAAACTAAATTTACATATTGTTTAGGCCTCACGAATGAGATCCCCTCCGTAGAGGATCAAAATTGTAATGGCACGTGTTCGAACCATCCTCAGGGATGATTCCCACACAGTCACCAATAGCCCATTGTGAGACGTAAATAAAGAACCTACCTACAATTAGCTCTAAAAGTGATAATTTAATTGGAATTTATGAATCCTTGTGGTAGTAAAGATCTTCTGTGTTTTAGAATTAATAAGAGATGACTATTTTAACCGTGTTTAACAGTAGAAAAGACTCGTGTGAGGCATTTTACACTCAAATAAAATCTCAGGCTCTTAATCAATATTTCCATTCTCACTTAGCATCTCGCAAATTTGCGTGCTTAAGTTCAGCGCAGTTACAACATCGCTTTTTTAGGAAGCTAGCGCAGATCTTTCGTACGGTATGAGAGGCTAAAATCTTTTAAATAATGACAAGATAAATGACACCAAACTAAATACAAAACAACAATCTTATCAAAAACAAAATTATTTTATTAAAATTTTATTTCTAAAATCATGAGATTAGCAAGCACTCTAGTTGAGGAGAAGCGAAATTGTTTTTTTTTTCCTTTGCATCCAAGGGTTATGACAAGAACAAGTCCTTGAGATATAGTACATTCAAAGCATTTCTATAGTTGTTCTATACATACCTACATTATGTACAACAGATGAAAGAGATAAGAAAGTTTGGGATAGGGAAGCACACATCAAGAAAAACCAAAGTTTTCTTCTTCCCCCAAAAGACCAAATACACACACAAAAATGCACATTTTACCAATAATGCCTCTGCTTCCTATACAAAATGTTTTGGTCCAAATTTTTTTTTTCCATACCAAATTTTGCCACTTATCTGATAGTTAATATCAAAGGAATACATTGATATGTGGATAGATGTACGAAAAATACATAAGTAGGAGATGAGAAAGAAAAAAACCCTGAGCATAGTTATATTTGTCTGAACTACATCAATGATGCACGTTTGATGAATTGATTGAAGTATATTTAAGAGCCTACACTTCTCAATTAAATTGGTAATAAGCAAAATAACAAAAATAAATTTTTTAATTACAAATGAAATTTTTTAAATTTAAACTATATTTTCTGAAATTTATGATAGTTCATTAATGCCCAATTCCATTAATCCACCAATGCCCAAAGTTTTCAAATAGTACAATTTATATTAATATAGACTGAAAATACATAACAAAATTTGAAATACTAAAAATTAAATACTCTTTTCTTAACATTGCAAAAAAAAAAGAAAAAAAAAAGAAAGAAAGAGAGTTTAGAGTCATTCTTAAAAACAGCTAAAAGCTGTACAAAGCAGCTCAATACCTATGGCCTGTTAAAATTAAAAAATAAATAAATTAAGAAATGTACTTTAAATTTATATAGAAAAAAAAAGGAGTTCTTACAAGTTAATAATGCTTTACAAGTTAAAAACAAACAATACTGTGGGCACCAATGGAAAAATTAAAATTTTTTCTTCATAAAAACTTTTTTGCTTATTAAAAAATTTCATAAGCAGATAATAAAGATTTAAAATTACTAAAATGTCTTTTCCACCCACAACAGGTTTAAACATTTCTTTAAAAAAAATTCTACTATATTATCTATTTCTCATTTTTTAAATTACACAAAAAAAAAGCAACTACACATAATCTGCTCTTACGTTAAAAAACTTACACATGGAAAATTAAAACGAGCGTATCTATTTCATCAATTACTACACAAGTGTGCAAGAAAGAATTTGAAAGTGCCAGCAAAAAATATATAAAATAAAGCATAGCACCTCTTTTTGTGCGACTTAGTGTGCGTGATTATGTTTGTTTCTTTCATAATTACTATTTTGACAATAGGTAGGTAATAAAACTGTAGCAAAACAATGTTAAGGCAATTGATACATCGATATATATACAGTTAAGAGTTTTATTTTTCCCAGCCAACCAGAAATAAAGAGTAGGGACACAAAATTATAAAATAAATCCAGTAGAACTGTGATTATCAAACACCCCATCTGATGCCATCCATACTTATTCATTACTCACTTATTCATATACTTGAAAATTACAATACACAAAAAAAAAAAAAAAAANCTACTTGAATAAAATATAGCTCAAAAAACAAATCAACAACAGTCAAGAAGTTAACTTATTCTGGTTAGACAAACAGCAAGCATTGCTCTCTAAAATACTAAATACAAATTACAACATGTAATTAAGTAACTCGAATTGAAAGTTTGATGGGCAATTTCAACACTGCAAAAAACCAGCAGTTTACAATTTGCATATATATCTTCCCTTATTGAAACAGCATTGAATCCCGAAAAATTTTGCATGCGCTATTTTAAAATTAGTTATATTACAATATTTTCGTGTTCCCCAACAAATGCAATTTAAAGACAAGTTACCCTAATGGTTTCTTTAATGACTGTAGCTATTACCAGAGTTGACGGAAAATATAATTGAGTACAGTAATCAAGAACAGACATAAATTATAATTTTTTTATCGACACAAATTATAATTTTTGTAAAGGAAAATTAAAATTTCGATAACTAGTAATCATAACTACTTATTATCAACATTACAAGCAACATAGAATCATAATTAGAAGTAAATCATTACATATAATCAAATATATCTTGCCCAACTCTGATCTGCTTTATGGGATTCAGCTCATAGTTTAATGTTTCGACTCCTCAACAAAGTACCTCTGATTGTACAATTTCCTAGACTCAGAGATGTAAGATTATTAGAGTTCTACTGTAATCTAAAATATATCTTTTACAATATTAAATCTCATAAAACAATATAACATAAGAATAAAACCACTCATTTTTTAAAAAAAAATTATATATTAATCTACATTTATTTACTGGTAACTGGGACTTCAAAAACTCTTACAAAGCATTTGATATCAGAAAAATACAACTTATTTAAAATAACAAATTAAAAGGTAAAGGGGGGCGGGCATGCAGTATCAGCAAGGTTGAAAATAGGTTTTCACAGTAAAAAATCAAGGATTTTGAAACACTTTGCCTGAACTTTCTAAACTCTTCTAATTTACAATACTTTTCTGTACATCAGATAAGTGGCAAAAACCTTTCCCTCCTCCAATAATAAAATGAACTATTCATTCACAGTATATAATACAGAAATACTTACAATACAGATATTAAGTACAGTTCTAGGATTGTCAAAATTAAGTGTGTATAAATTTGTTCTTATTTTTAGTTCTCACTTTCAAAAAATATACATTAAGTAAAGGCATGATGCAATCAAAACACTTTGATTTAATTATCTAACTTATGTAAAAATGATTTTAATTTAACATTCATATACATTTTTATTCAAATCAATGAACTTTAAAATTTTATTTTTATTATTATATTTCTCTTCCTGATGATATTTTCCTGAATTTCATTATTATTAGAACAATCAAAACACTTTGAATGATTTTTTTTAAAAACTTGTGTTAATATACAGTTACATTAAAATCATCAAATTTAAAAGTTGTTTTTTGATGATATAACTTAAAATTTTACTGTGAGTACAAATAAATGTATAAAAAATTATGAAAACATATTGAATTTGTGACTAACATTAAAACTGAAACAGATAAAAATTCTTTTAACATAAAACAATAGCCTAATTTTATACTCAAACAAAGTTAAAATGAGTTTGAAAAAAAAAAATGTGATATCTTGTAGACAAAAATTTTCATTTTTATATCAAATTTTTTTTAAGCTTCATTGTAAGTTTTGTACAATATAGAATATTTAAAAATCCAATTCTAAAAATTTGCATCGCTATTACGCAGTTTAAATTATAGTAATGAGGAATNTCATCATATAATATTTTCTATTTTTTTTTTACAATTATAAATTAATGAAGTCACATAGTGAATATTAAATTTTGATAAATCAAATTTAACACCTAATTTAGTAAAATTAAAAAATGGAGCAATGAGAAAGTATTTCACAAAATAAATCTTTGTGAAATAATCAGAATTATTTCACTATATAAAATTTAAATAGAAAATGGTTGCTTTTGAAACTAGTAAATTTGACAAATAAATTTTTATGTTCTGTGATAGCAAATTAAATTTTCAAGGTATCATAATAGATTAATATCAAATGAATCATTTAATGTTAACAAATAATTATTTCTCTAAGCTAAACATATAATGACAGAAGAGTAATAACTCAATTTTAAAATAACTTTAGAAGTTACATTGTATTCCTTTTCAGTTAAGATAAGCCATGAAAAGGCAACTAAAAACTTTTTTTCTCTTCAGTATTTGCATAAATTTAGTAATATTTATTTAAAAAAAATTTGTGTTTTCTACAAGCTTTGAGAAGCATTTTAAAAATGGATGTTTTGATTTGGATGAATTATTTTAAAAAAATCTAAAAGCCATAGGAATACACAATGAATGAGGTTTTATACATATGTCTCACCTATAGCAATTTATTGCTGCACAAATAATATACTTACATGTGCTTTTTGCTATTTTAAGAAAGTGCAAGTAGCCATCAGAATAGCATAAAAACGCAAAAACAATTCTCACTACCAGCAGATAGATTCTGAGAACCAAATCGTTATTTTTTTGATTCTGAGTTGTAAATGTACATACAATAAATATTCACATGAAGAGGAAAAACATATTCACATGGCAGTAAACACACATATGCTTGTATATGTGTAAAGAACATTTTAAAATACAGCTAGTTTTCTTCGCCTAAACTCAGAGATGACAGGGATGCCAATCTTAAGAAATTATTTAATTGATTAAAAACAAATATTTTTTCAAAATATTATTTCAGTTTTAAAATTATCTTAACAAGTTTCAAATGAATTTGCATATTCATAGATTGCATGCAAATTCAATTTAATATTAATTTTATTGATACAGTTTACATTTAGTTTCGTTATTTGATAATATTATTTTGAATTAACTTAGCCAAAAGAAATATTTAAATAATTTGAATGGATAATTGAATTTCTTTATTCTATAACAAAAATTATTGTGAATCGTTATAATTTCTAATTCAAATTTAATTCATTAATAATACAGTTCAAATTTTGTTATTCAATGACAAAATTACTTCGAATAAGCATACAAAGAAAAAACTTGTTATGCTTGCGCAAACTTGAAACTCAAAAGAGTAAATTCTTTAATATCTGCATTACAAACTTGTTACAGTTGTAGTGAAAACTTTTAATAATCATTAGCACAGATTCAAGAATAGATAGATTAAAAAAAATCAACTTTAACAATTGGAACTAAGGAATAATGAGAAATTCAATAAAATTAATCAGGTGATTACTTTAGAATTAATCAGTTGATTCACTCAGTAAAAATATATTAAATAACATGATCCACAACATTATTTAAATTAAATCTCAATATGTGTGTGTAAAGATATTTGATAAAGCAATTATTTTTTATCAAAAACATTAGTCAAATCACGGCTAATCAGACAGAATAACTTAAAAGATTTTTAATTAATTAGAAAAATTACTGTTATAAATCTATGTTTGGTACACAGAAATTTTAAGCATAAATGCATATTAAAAGTTTTATTAGACTGAATTATTATTAAATTAGCATGTATGCAGGACATGGAATTGTCATCAACCCCTTCCTTCTCGCTCTCGTGAGGTTTCGCCCTCTATTTGTCGCTCCCGTGAAATTTCCGGGCTGGAGTGTTCAGTAGTAACCCGCCAATAAGAATAATGCGAATTCATTTCGTTTGCCTGTAAAAGATTTTATTTCTCATTTTACACACCAAATGGCAGTACCAGGATAATTTTAAGATAATTGTAGATAATTTATTTTAAACTAGATGTCAGCACTAATCAAATATGTGTATTTAGAAAAATAGGCACTTTTATGACCGTTTTTTTAAAATTAACAAATTGTTAAGAAGTTAAATATAATTTTTAAGTCTTGAAATGAATTAAAATGTGTTCTGAAACAGTTGGCATCCCTGAAAACATGCTGAATAGTAGTACAGCTGCCTACGTAATTAGTGAAACTCTCTATAAGCAGAACAAAAATAAGCATCTCTTTCTCATAATTTTTTCAGGCTATGACTGTCCCACTAAGAAAATCTCCAACAATTAATTACAGTTGAAAGCAACAATGAAGAACTTTTATGGGTACTGAGTCATTGCGCTAAGGAATAATTCTTGTACAATATTTCATTTACAATAGCTTAGCATCACTTTCTTTTTTATTTTTTTTGGCAAGTACAACAATAATTAGTGTCCAATGACAACATGTGCTACTAAATAACTCCTATAAAGATCACAAGGAGCCAAATACTGTTTTAAATAGTCAGTCTCTCAAAAAAAAAAAATGAATTTACAAATCAATGTTACAATATTTTCATTTGTTTTGTTCCACTTTCGTTCATTATAATACAAATACTCTATGTATGAGTTGATGAGGGGATTTAAAATAACAGTTTCATAGAGAAGTCTTTTTCACAAGGGTTTTAAGTTATCACTGGCCTAAGATGAATAGGTCATAGTTCTGTACATATATAAAGAGGGTTCTTTGACAACAGTTTGTCTTAGCACTGGTTTTCAAAGAACGCAAGTAGTTCATCACTATTACTGCTAGCAGACGAGGTAGTGACGTTATTGGTGGAGGTTGCAAGAGTTGAACTAGCCGCTGACCCGACACAATTGCTGCTTCCGGTCGTTGGAACCAAATCAGGTGGATCTAAGTATGAAAGCAGCTCCATTGGATCAACACTCTCAGGTAATAACTGAAAAATAAATATAGAAATATTTAAGCAAACTTTTAAAACTACGTATTATCTTGTATATATCAAGATAATAGAACTTATAATATCTTGATTTTTAAGTCCAAAAAGGGTAGTTAGTTTATTTATGCAGGATTATCATAAGCACCGAGAAAACAAATTTTCAGGCTCATGTCATTGAATTTCACTTATATCAGAGGTGATTGAGCTCCAGAAAGAAATCCAGATTTCCAGATTTCTCCCTAACCCTGATTGGGAAGTTTCCGGAAATCCTAGATCCAGAAGTTTCAAGAAATCATCGATCACATTTATGTATAAAAATTCATCCTGCATATTTTATTTAAAAATATTAGAACTAGAATTTATGCTTGACATCTTTCATTTGTAAATATATTTTCTGGTAGAATAATAAATGTGATTAGACATAAAAGTAAACTTATACATAATTATTCATGATATAATTTAATGTTTTGAAAATATCTATGATTTAAATTTATAAAGACATTAATTTTTTGAAATGCGTCATTGATGATTTTACTCAAGAAATTTTCCGGACTTTTGTGTTGACTCACAATCACCCCTGCTTATATTTACTACTAAGTACATAAACTTTATTAGTCATTTTTAAATTCTGCTCATTAATATATATAAAACATATTACAAAGCACTTTCATTTGTTATTGAAGTGGAATATAAACAATGTGGTAAATATTTGTAGTCAAAATATTGTTTTCCTAATACTAAAGATTTACTTTAGGTTAGGAGGTTTAGGAGAAGGTTTACTTTATATTTAATTTTTAAACAAAAACAGAACTTTCAGGGGGTCAACTTATACACTGGTAATGAAGTCGAACATTTGGTGACCATGAAAAAATAATGCATTATAATATAAATCAATGCATTAGAATTATAAATATATGTATTTGAATAATTCCGTTAAATTCAACCATTTAAAACTAATTTTAATATGTTAAATATGATTAATTATTATTTCTTTTACACATTAAGGTTTTTTTTTAGAAATAATATTTAAAATTATGCCCAGAAAAAAATAAAATTAACAGTGCCGACATATAAATCCCGCTCTGCAATAGATTCAATGGAAACTTTCATAGGTTTAATAATTGTTTTTGTCTTTTAACTTTATAAATTTTTATGGTCGAATTTTTTAGTGGTCGATTTACACACTACGATATATGGTATTGAAGAAGTTGTTCCCACGTATCTATTCAAGAAAGAAAACTCATCTAACTGAAGCTGGGTGGGTTTTGAGCTACCACCAGTGTGTTAATGATGTATTGCTTATTAAAAGAAAAACTTTCGGCATAATTTGTGAAGATTGACATTGGAGGATCAGAACAAATACATAGAGATTTATGGTTAACAGAAAGAATCGAATACTGTTACAAACATCAATATTAAAAAAAAAAAAAAAAATCCAATGGTTTGGACACATCGTAAGATTGAACTTGGAAAGTAATGTCAAAAAGTTATTGGACAGAAAACCAGGCAGGTCAAGTTTTAGAATTAGAGGGTAAAAAAATATTGCAGAGGACCTAAAATTACCACCTACTACAAGAAAAATGGAACCAGCAGAAAAGTATGTTCCGAAATCTTAAAGGAGGCTTAGGACTCTAGAAGGACCTTAGTGCCAGAATGTTGATGATGATATCAAAATAATTTACTTACATTAAGACCCTCTTGACCTTGACCTTCACCGTTGATTACAGCAGCAGGGTCAAAGTTAAGGTCGCTGAGGTCTGGAGCATGAGACAATGAAGAGTGTTCTCCGTTTGAGGAATTGTGGGATGTGTTTTGGCTAGAGGCATCGTTCCCGCTCTGAGAAGAGACTGGAGGGACACTGGGAGGTCCGCCTGGTGTATGAGGTGTGTGTGGAGTATGAGGGGTGTGAGGACCATGTTGCATGATTGACTGGCTCTGAGATGAAGGTGTGGCTGGTTGTGACTGATGAGGTGTACTTGTCCTCGGGACAGATGTTGGAGGATGGCGAAGAGATGAATTCGTTTGGTCATGAAGGTTAGGAGGTCCCATTTGCTGAGGGAGAAAAAAAAGAATTGATTGCAATCAACACTTTTTGAGAAAGCATGAAAAATGTTCAAAAAGGTGGATAGAGTATAGTTTGTGCTATGTAGGATGAAGTAAAAAAAAATGTGAAGGTACTGAAATGAATATACTATAGTTTCAGTTCTAGCATAGAACAAACAAGTATGGATTTTGAAACTATAGTATCTTTATTTCTGTACTTTACTCACATTCTTTTTTCCCCCGTTCTAGCATGAGTTAGATAATAACCTACAATTATTATATAAAAATAACTAAAAATAACCATTACATTAGTAGAAACTTTACAGCATGGCAGTAAATTATTATGATGAGCTGAAAAAATCTTTTTACTTCTAAGTTTTAGAAAACTCTAACATTTAAAACATTATTTAGGTTGAGATGCAAACTCACAAATCAAAACTGAAAATTGATCTACAAGGGAAAAAGTATTCAAACTACAAAAATTTCACTTATTAATTACAAAATAATTTAAATGAAAAAATTGTGACGATGAACACTACAGATTTTCTATCTGCCTAGCATGATTAAATATATAGTTAGAATAAAATGTTAAAAAATAAGTAGGGAAAAACACTGCCACACATTTTATAACACTTTTTCAGTTGTTTAACTGTAACTTCCAATTGTTTGTTTGAATTAAACAGAAACATTCCAAATTCATCAATATGCTGAAAACATCAACATAGATTACTTTTCTTAAAACTCAAAATGTTAATTTCAGCAACTTTTGTAACAAAACATGAATTTAAAACAAACTGATAAAGGAATTAAAAAATAAATAAAAGTAAAAAGAAATGCAAAGTTTTGCCATTTAATTGGTAAATAATTTGTAACTCGATTAAAACACTAAAAATACAAGATTCAAAATATTTTTATAGCTTAAATATAAAACATATAGACTAATAATAGTTAAAAATACTAAAGCCAAAAAATTAAAGCATGTGCTAGCAGAACTTGATTCTCCTGTTTAGCACAAACTAATACACATATATGCCAGTTGCCAAAGCATATTACATAATGTTAATATAATATTGGGAATTTCTACTTCAAATGGTTATTACGAACTGGGGAACTCAGTTGGAGAATATGTTAAGTAACATTTTAATGAATTTGAGAAAATTTTCTTAACTGTGTACAGTTAAGCTAATCTATTTAAAAAGCTAACTTTTTTATTATGAAGTTCTGACCTTAATACTGATTGTATAAATCAGAAAATTATTGAGTTTTTAAAATGTCACTTAACAGGTTCTTTGATTAAGCTTTTTAAATAAGAATGAAAGGTAAAATAAAATGATTGAAGTTATTGTATACAAATTATTGTTAATATAGAGAGTTGGTTAGTTTAAGTTATCTCGCAGACAAATATCAAAAATAATGTATTTATTTACCTCTCTACATATTGAATCTAGCACAGATAAGAAGCTAGTACTGCTGCCTACCTGCTCATGGTGTATTATTGTTTTTTCTATTGCAGCTATGGGATTAAGTGATTCCACACTTTCAGTCAAATGGGAGAGGGGGCTGCTGAAGTCTGATGCCTGGGATTGGAAATCAAACCCACCCGTTGAATTGCCATAGCCCATACCATTGGACATCATGGGACCATTGCTCACGGGGCCATTAGACAAAGCTAAATATAGAAGGGAAAAAATTAGTTTAATACCAAATTGACAAAACTTCTTGAATACATGAAAACAATCAAAATGAGGCATAAAAAGTTTTAGATAAATAAGTTTGAAAGTGTTTTTAAGTGCATTAGAATAAAAATTAAGACAACAAATAAACAGAAATAAATTTTGAACAGTTAAATGCGTGTACAAATACAAACGTTAATGTTAATTACGAAATTAAATTAAAAAAAGTAATTTTCATACACAAAACATTTTTTACTGTTTTAAAACCAAAACTTCATCAATCAAAACCAAAAATTCACAGCTATATTTCCCATTGTTTTAAGCTGTAGTAACAGTTATTTTATTGTACAATTCCAAGTCATTGACTACAACATATCTAAACATTTTCTTTAAGTAGATAAATATTTAGGGAGCGAAAAGAAAAATTGTTACTATAAATTTACACAAATGTAAATACAATTCTAAGTTTTTAAAACACTATAACTTATTTTGTGTAAGCAAATATTTTCACTTTACCTATACACATAATATCAAATTTAGAATTTTTAGAAATTTAGAAAATTTAGTTTGCATTCAAGGGGGAAATAAATACAAAAATAATATGTTTTAGAAACTTAAAGTAATAACAAAAACAGCAATTTTAATATTAGTACAGTACAGAACCCGTTATCCGGAAATCAGAAAACCGGAAAACCAAAAAACCGGAACGAAATTCGATAAATTTTCCAGCTATTTTTAAAAAAAATTTTTTTTTCCTCATAAGAATTTAGGATTTTGCGTTCTTTTTTGAAAGATCTTTACCTTACCATCATTTTAGAAATAATCATTAGTGTATTACTCCATCGTTTTTTCTTCTTTTTAAGATTATTTCCAAAAAAAAATTTTTTTAGTTGGGTTTAACATTAAAAAAAACGGCTTTTTGTAGCGATTCAGAAAACCGGAAAAATCAGTTATCCGGAATAGCTATGATCCCGATCGTTCCGGATAATCGGTTCCCTACTGTAATTACAAGCAAATTTGTCAACCTGGGTACTTAAAGGAAATAAATTGCACTTCTAAATATGCGTTACAAACATAGTATTTTTAATTTAATACTGCTAAAACCTAATTAATTCAAATAACAAATACATTTATAGTGTATGTATGCACATAATCCTTTACTTCCTCTTTAAAATTTTATATTTATTACTTATGCTACTTGGAATATTTCATAAATATTTTTATTATTAATTTATTTTTATATAAAACTATGTATTTCTTTTTCATACTACATTTGATGAGAGTAAAATTTAAAATAGATCAAATTTTTGTTACTTACATTGCATGTCTGGTGGAGGAAGGGCTTGATAAGGGGAGAGTCCCTGGCCCATCTCCCACGAATGAGTTGTAGGCAGTGTCATACTACTGGGGGACATGGCTTTGAAACGTTTCGCAGCAGAACACATATCAGCTGAAATAAATAATTATTTTTTCAACACAAATAATGAGTAAAAAAATAATAAAATTTTATTTATTTGATTATTTTTAACTTATTTTTAAATAATTCTTTCAAATAAGCAGATACAGTTGAATTTTTTAAATTCAAAGACAAATGGGAATCCCAAAAATTTTTAAATCAACCACAATTTTGATTAATATGAAATTATTACATTATATAAAAAAAATACTGTTTAGTTGAACGCATAACAATAAATAAAAACCTATTAGAAATGTACCTAATTTTAATAGCAATTTGATGATAGGATTATATGCATTAATAACACACTGTATTTAACTTAAACATATTTTAAATAAGGTATGATTATATATAAATATAAAAATATAAATAAGAAAGAAAAAAAGAGAACTGTTTTACTTTTAGCAGTAGAATTTTATGTAATGAATTCAAATTCTAACAACTCAAATCCTAAAAAAATATTCATTCTTAAAACTACACCATATTACAATAGAGAAGCTTGTAACATTTTGATAATATTTAATAAATATTTATGTAAATATAAAAACTTTCTTAAATTCCTAGGTTTAAAAACATGTCACAGCTAAATGTAAATATATAACATCTATTAATTTTACAAAACCTTTATACTAGCTAATTTAAACTAAAAATTTTAGTTTTGAAAACAATTATAAAATTTTGAAACATTTTACAGTTTATTTTGCTAAAACATGTTGCGAAATTACTAAACATGTACTTCCATTTTGTTCCTCAATTACCTCTTTTAGAATTATTCTTTCATTAAGTCACACCCTTATTTAAAATTCAAAAAGATAATTTAGTTTAATTACATCTTTAATTCAAAGTGTTTGAAATAAATAAACAAAGAAAAATGAATTCAATTACAATGTTTTTGAGTATTTATGATATGAATAATTAATTAGATTTTAAAAATTAATTATCATATTAACTATATTTATAACGGGCTTTCATAAATGCAGGTCAGATATACTGAAAGGCCAGATAATATCAAAACATAACACAAATGCATTAATATTAACATAATGATGTATTATCACAAAAAAGTGTATGAATAATAAGAAACCTCTTTTTTTCACTTTTAAAACTGTTATAGTAAATATGAATCAAAACAAACCTCCGTCATGTTCTTCCTTAATAGCTTTCATAGGTACAGGTTTCCAACTAGCAGTTGAATCAATGGTCACTTCCTCTACATCAGTATTTGCAAGATTTGTAACAATACCCCAGATATATTGATCTACTTCCAAACCTTCCAAAAGTGCTGGTTTACTATTAAAAAAAAAAAAGATTTTAATCTAAAAATTCTAGGAAAAAAGAATTTTCTTCAACATTAACACTTGATATTAAAGACCAACTTACTTGCACACTGGGCACCTCCAAGCCCCCCTCTCACTATTTAGTTGAAGGTAAGATTCCAAATCGAAACCCTACAAAAGAAATAATTAAACGCTTTTTAATATTTACGCTGGAAAATATATATCTGAATAGAAAAATACACATAAATATATTTTTTTTCCGTGACTGAAATTATAAATTCTTCAGAAATATTTTTAATTTAGCTTCCCAGAAGTTTTTAAGCTTATAAAGTCTAGATTCTGATAATTTTGTCACGAGAATATTAGAGAAAAATCAGTTTTGAATAAGGTAAATTTTACTTTAAAATTTTTATAAAATAGATTTTCTTTCAGCTTGTATAAACAGGTATAAATGAATAAGCAACAATTCCTCTAACTATCAAAAATGTTAAGAACCAGTAAAAAAATTTTAAAAAAATCGCTGCATAAAAATTATTGTAATTTTTATGTTTCATATATTATTTTGAAGTGTATTATTACTTCATAATTGGAAAACAGAACTTTTCAGCTATGTGTTTCATTCAAAAATTAACAGTTAAGTTCATACAATTAATTTTCTAACAATTCTGCCATGCAGATAAAAAAATTAATAAAAATTTATTACAAATGAAGTATTTAAAAAATAATTACTTTATCTTAACGGCAATGGTTTTTTACATTTTTTGTGAATACAGATATAAATAAATAACAATACTACTGACTATCAAAAATGTTTAAAATTCAGAAATTATTTGTTTAAAATTCAGAAAACACGTTTCATAATAAATAATTAAAAATAAATATTTGACACTAAAAGGAACTCTACAAAAATTGAACATCAAATAAAATTAAAACAAGGCACTCTTAAAGGAGCACTTTTTCATTATTCAATAATGACAGTTTACCATTCAATAATGACAGTTTATCGTAATGACATTATTCATCAGAAAGAGAAATTTTTATTCAGAGATACCGATTATAACAAGAAGAAATATACATATACAAACCTGTATATGTTTACACTCCTGCCCTCGAGCTGGTAAAGTAATTCTTTTAAATGTGATTGGACATTTTAGAGAAACTTTAATGGCAGTCTGTTCCACTCCGTCTTCTCCATTTAGTGCACTGTTAGCCGACTGGGCAACACTTGTGAAATTCCTTTTGATTTTATTGACACACAGTTCAGCAGGTAATAACCTCTTCCGTAGCAAACCTTGTAGTACTGACCTTACTGTCGGTCTGTGGACCAGTTGTAACAAGAACAAGTGAGACTACAAGAAAAAAACACTTTACTTAGTAATGCAATCGAGAAAGAGTAATAATACATAATTTTCTAAAAATGGGGGGAAGAGGAATAAGGAACTGGAAAAGTTTTTACTAATTTCAGTGAGAGCGGAAGTATCTCAAGAGCGGTGAGGTCTCTCCCTCCCTTACAGTGACATAACTGGCGTTAGGGCGAAAGCCCATGCGGGAGCCGTAGAGAAGAATAGTGATGTATGCATGCACATATCAGTAATATACAGGTTCCAATTATCTGAACCACACAAAATGGCGTAGCAAAATGTATTAATATATTGATTTTCAAAATCAAGCATGATTGATGCACTAAACTTCTTTAATTTAGAGTAAGATTTAACGAAAACTGTTTATAAATTGTAAATATAAATGCATATCAAATAGTAAAACAATTTTTACCAATGTAATAGAGTAAGTATAATTAAATTTAACAGCAAATAAATTGTTCAAACATCTGAATATTGCTAAAAAAATATTTAACAGAACAAATAAAAAATATTTAAAAAAAAAACTTCCAATAAGATAAGAATTTGAAAATCCGAAAATATTAACATTAATTTAATCATAGCTCGTTCAAAAAATATCAACCAATTGAGCATTTGGGTAAGATGGCTGAGAAATTTCTCTTTAAAGACAACTCTCATTAAACAGCGAGAACAGGTTTTTCTTCAGGAAAAACAGGGGGAGGAGCTTTGCAAAGGCTCAGTCAGTTAGTTTAGTAAAAATATGAAATTATACTGAATATAGTATTTCATTTAATATTAATTATAACCCACAGTTTAAAAATTTAGTTTAATTAGTTTGGAAAATGTAACATGCATACATTTCTTTTAAACATAATTACATGAAAGAAAGAGAAAAAAAAAAGATATAAATTATTTAAAAATAAATTGAAATCAACTATGTTAATGACAAATAATAGCTAAAGATAAAAACTGAAATATTACATTTAAAATAAATTATACAATAAATACATTTAGAAATGAATCAAAATGGATTGCTGTTTTTAGATGTTACAAGCCATATACAAAAAACAGGTGACACTTACACAACAGCAAGCTGTAACTGTAATTTGAATGGTGTTTCTACCCGGTTGACACACTTCTTTTAGATACAAAGGCTTGTGTGATGTTTTGTTCTCACCCCTGTCTATGCATAGGGGTGTTGCATTTACAGATACTTGCACAGAAGCTGGCCAATTTGTATTCATCTGTCTGTCCTCATGGTGAAAACACTTCAGCTGCAGTTCTAGATCATTTCGATACATAAGGGTTTGATGTACAGAGGGTTTTAACTGGAAAGCGTGATTGCTCACAGCAAGGTTGTGCTCCAGTCGGAAAGGAGATAAGATGATGCCGTCACGGACAGGGAAAGTCAATCGCAGTTCATCGTCTTCTAGAAAAATGAAATAAAATAAAATATTAAAATTGTAGAACAAGCCATAAAAAGTTACATTTTAACTTGGACTCTTAATACCAATAATGCAATTCTAGAATTTTAATACCACATTATGAAGAATATTATTTTATTATTCAGTGCTCAAACATGTGATACTTATCCATTAGTTTGATAGACCGTAACTTGGCAAAAAGCACAGGTGCCATGCAGTTATTTATTTGACCCTAATGGATTTTCATTCTTTTATTTTAGTTCACACAAATAAAATGTAACATATAAAAAAAAACATAATGAAATAATGTTAGTTGAGACTACCCTTTTTTATACTTAAAATTTTTGGTGACCATTTCCGCACAGTGATTTTAATGTAGTATTAGTTGACCATTTTCTTAGTTTTCCGCATGTTTAAAAAATAAATGAAATAATGAATTTACTTATATACTAATGAGTGCCCCTGTAGCAGAATTTTTTCGAGCTATCTGCGACTAATCTCTCCAGCACAAATATCTTTCTGCAAGATGCTTTTAATTAAAACAAACATGTATGTTACTAATTGAAAGTAACAAACACGCTGAGTTTACAAAAAAAGACTATAACTTTTTTAAATTGAATAAGTAATAATCTTTAATTTTAATATTAGGGATGATATTCTCGCATTTTGTTGGGTGAAAAACGCACAAATTATTTGTGCGATTTTCCAAATTATAAAATTTTGTAAATAATCATCACAATAAAAAAAGTAATTAACAATCATGAAATCCACATGGTCCCCATGGCTGAAAAAAAGATCGATGACGAAATCACGCGAATCGGACTCCTTAAACGTGTTTCCAGATTAGGTTGGTGTAAATACTAATATCGTATAAAAAATCGGATTTAAAAACTATGGAGAAATCAGTAACAATAACAGTCAAAAATTCGATAGAATTATAGCCGTAAAAAGTACTCAAATGCACGATTTGAATTTTCCATATTGATTGAAATATATAGGGATATTTAAAATACGTGTGAAAATCGATATCAATAACTGCCGAAAATACAATCGAAAAATTACATCGATTTCCGATACTATCGGCGTAAATTGAGGGTGTCAAAAAGTGATTATCTAAATGCATGATTCAAATATGTGTAAATTTTTGTTGAAAGGAAAACAGAATTTTTTTTACTTTTCTAAAGAAAATTTTTTCTGCAAGAACTCTGTAACGTTCTGCGACAATGTCGCCGTGTCGCTGATATTCTGCCATGGGGATGAGTGCTTTATTAAGTCTTTATTAGATTGATTCTTCGTACAATGAAATAAAACATTAAAAAAAAAAAAAAAAAAAAAAACAAGCAGAGGAACCATTTATTATTATTTTTTAAAATTATAACACCTAATTGCCAATTTTGTAATTAGGATTAATTTTGTGCTGTGTATCAATTAACAGGCATAGATGGATTACATAATTTTAACCATATTTAACAATTTAAATACATGATTTTATAACATTTAGTCACCAGAATTATAAAATAACAAGATGAAATAGTCCACAGTTTCCTTAAAAATTATATATTCAGGCACTTTAGATTAAAAAATGCTTTACAAATTCTGCTCAATACATTAACCATAAATTAACAAAAGGAAAATATTGAAGTACATACTCCCATGTGTAGGTAACGGTGCAACTCCTTTCAACTCTGGAAAAGTGGGCTTTAGATCAGGATTAGGAGATAAATAAGGAGGTATTCCAGAAGCTGGAGTTAGAGGTGGTGTAGGATTTCCCGGAATAGGAGATTGTTGGTAATTCATATTTCGCTAAAGAAACATAATATATTAAGTTGTAGAGAAGGAAGTAAACAATTTTTTCATTCATAAACTAATTATTACTGAAGGAGGTAATGTGATTAATACAAATTGATGAAGTACATTAATTTTTTTTTATAATAAAAATATTCAAATAAATAAAACATAATAGGAGAATCCATAGAGCAGCCTTTTTTTTATCTACCTCTTAACAAGAAAGATCTAAAAGAAGAGACACGAGAGTAACTCATGTCTCTTTATTTCATATGATTTTATTTCATATGATTATATCAAGCAAATATATTAACTTTACATTAATTAATTTTTATTACTGCNTTGGCTAATGAGTAAAATTAATAATTTAAAGCTTTTTTTTTAAAAAAAAAATTAATAATTCTTACTATTCTAATTAATTTATGAATCTGATTTTTTTCAAATTTGCCAACTTACTTGCATAGTTTGCATATTCTGTTGGTTGTATTGTGGAGCACCATATTGTTGTTCATATGCAGGAGCTTGGTGTGGAGGTGTACCGTTCATCTGGTTTTGATGATAGTACTGACCCCCTCCTTGATTTACATAAGGATTGGATTGAGGCCTTATTGAAGGCCGCATTTGTTGTTGTGCGAGGTAGTTAGGATTAGTCATTGCAGATTGCTGTACACTGGAGTTATACTGTTGCTGCTTAAACTGATTTGTGGGACCAACAGGATACTGAAAAAGATTTAAAAAATTAGTTTTATTTATTAGAAAGTTCAAATAATATTTGAAGATAATAGATAAATGATCACTTATCTGATCTGTACTTAAATAATTATTAAATTACATATTGATCACTTATAACTAACTATACAAAACAAATTACTAGCAGAAATTATAAGCTAGTTCTAAGTGGAAAAAAAATTGGCTTTTTCAAGAATTGAAAGGAGAAAATTTTATTTCAATGTCTGCTTTAAATAATGTTAAGTTATACATGAAAGATTAACAAAATTTTAATTAAATAACTTTATTAGAACTAAATACTTTAGATCAAGGAGAATGTTATTGTCTGATTACATAATTATACAAATAAAATACTTAAAATTACAGTATAAGATCAGCGAAGCCACACCATTATGTAAATAATATCAAAAGTATATTTAAATATATTTCTTTTATAATTGCATAGTAAGCATTCAAATTATCTCAAATTTATAATAATTTGGTTGCGTCAATCAAGTAGGATGCAAGAGATCAAGTTTGCTATCAATTGTTTGTTTTGAAATCATCCTAGTTCTAGAATTTACAATGATTAATAGAACTCCACTGAAAATAAAACAGCTAAATATGTTACAAATTAACAACACATCACAAATGTACACAAGCTATTTAATTTACCTGATTTGTGTTAAATCCGTGCTGAGCACTTCCACCATAATGTTGCATACTAGCCGGACCATACTGCTGCACCATAGGATTGTACTGTGACGGCCTCTTCTGAGCCATATGTTGCTGTGGTGTAGGGTATGGAGCTACCCTATTCCTGGTTTGAGGCATCATTCCCGGAGAACTACCACCATACATAGGACCATGTGTAGGCTGCACAGTACTACCAACACCACCCATTGATTTGTTCATAGCACTAGTGTTCATTCCCATAGGCCCATTTACGGACATTGGGGACATAGAGTTCGACATGTTCATCATAGTATTGTTCATATGATTGGTCATGCTATTTAAAGAGTTTCCCATAGGATTTCCCATACCGGCATTCATACCATTGTTCATAGGTTGATGTGTTGGCATACGTTGATGATTTGGCATATAACTACCCTGGTACGGAGAATTTTGCATTGCTGGAACCTGTAATAGACATTTTAAATATTAATAGTATGTAAGATGTTAACATGCTGACCAAGAAAAGAAAATGAATAATAAATTAAATAATGAGAGTAAACATACAGATTTTGAATTATGAGGAGAGAGGGAAGATATCAGATCAAGACATCAATCTTAGATATCAATCTTTCAAGATATCAATCTTAAGTTCTCATATGACCTGACATAAACCACATTATTTATTAAAATCATTAGGAAATTTTTTAGTCAAAAATTGTAATTTTTATAGGAGGAATAAACAAAAAAGTTATTGTAAGTAGTACTTTTATAAGTTTTGACTAGGTAAATTTTTGTGGCCTAAAAAGTTCAGTTTTCAATTTTATTCATAAGAAATAATATGATAAATGATAAAAAAAAGTGATAAAATTTTCTCTACCTGCCCATACTGATTGTTAACAGTAGGTCCTTGCCTTTCTTGCAAAGCTACAACACTAGCAGTTGCGGTGGCGGTAGCAGTCGCAGCCGCTGCCACAACAGCGGTGTTCAGGGATGCTTGAAATTCATTTCCAGGAGTGTGACCAGCATTTGGCATGGAACCTGGCATGCCACTAGACATTTGAGGAGTTGGTCCATACCTATAAACAATATTTAAAGATTGTTATTTGAAATAACAGGATATCTGTTTTGAATATTAATTATTTAACAGCTAATGTAACAAACTTTAATTTTTTCCCCAATATTAGACAATTTACAAAGAGCATTAAATCACAGTTTAACTTTTTTGTTTAATTTTGATATTTAGAAATGTTTAATATAATTAAAAAACTTAAATTATAAACTAATTAACATCATAAAGGCACACACGTTTTATTGGATTTAAATTAGAAGAACAAAGTTTCAAATTTGATGAGTAAATCCCAATTGATTAGCATTTCAAATTCATTAGAATACAGCAACTGGGATTTAAAAAAATGCAAAAACTTCCTTTATAAGTATTTACGTTAGTTTATTGTGTTGCTTCAATTTTGTGATGTTGTAAAATTTATTAAATTAATTGTAATTAAATTTTTAATCAATTTTGCAATATTAATTCTCAATTCTGTAATTACCCACCAAACATTATAGCTCAGTGAGGAAGTTGGATTTTTTCTGTGTACTCATTTAAAAATACATACAGATCTTAATTTATCCTAAGTAGTAAATAACATTAATTATAAAACCTGCATGTATTTATTTTTGAATGAGTTCGTATGTGTATGCATTTAGTTTTAAAAGCATTTTTTTCTCCTGTATTTCGAATTCGAAAAGTTGCCCGAAAACAGTTTGAAGCGCAAGCCATATAATTTACGATTCCCCCCCCCTCCTGAATGCATTTTATCCAGTTAATAATGGACAAAATCCATACTATATGACGTTAATACGACACTTTAGGAAGTAAACCTACCACATACGTTAAGTACTATTACGGGGGCTTTTCTTAAAAATATTGTGTGAGGAAAAATCATAACAATCAATTTCTTTAAAAAATAATGTGCTGATATTTATAAATTATCAGTATTCATTGAGCAGAATAATTCAGGTTTTATTTAATTTTTTTTACAAGCTTAACTGTCATGTTTTTATTATTAATAAATTAAAAAAAAAGGGAAACCATAAAAGGCAAAACACTTTTTCTCTTTTTAAATTATATCCAAAAATTGAATGTAGTTGCTCTTTAAATTTTCAGTTCAATGAAAATAGTAATACGCAATGAATGAAAATAGGATTGGGTCTGCAAGGAATCACCCTGAAAGTTATGTAGACTGATTTCAGAAAAAGAAATATAAAAGTGCACCTTCAGAACAGGAAGAAAACAGTGGGGACTTTATTCTACTAAAGACGTAAACAAGAGTGCGAAGTTGCAACACATGTTTTACTTCATCGCGCAGTCTCCTTGTCTAGACTGCTACAGCAGACAATCTTGCCACAAAATTCGAATATATGATCACAGGATATAATACATTGAAATTGTTCTGGTCGATCCCTAACGATCGATTCATTCAGTTTCTAACAAGTTGAAAGAAAACAGACTTAAAAACAAATAATTCCTTTTCGCAGTAAGAAACACGCGGTGCATTCTCGTCATTCTACAATTACGTAGGAAAAAAAACGGACATTATTTATATCTTCATGTCAAACGATGTTTAGAGATTTAAAATATCACTTATAACTACTAGAGTTGTTTTATTTGTAACTAAAATGGGGCGATATATAGCAAAAATCGATATTTTTTACTATCACAATAACGATGTTTTAAAATATATTTTCCCTAAAAGCTAGGATCGCTACAGCTAAAAATCAAAATTACAATAATATTGTGATTAGTATCGAATACGATAAAATATTGCAACAATTATCGGCAATATATAACATAACTTGTAACTGAATCATAACAAGCTTTAGAAATTCACTGATAAATTTACTTTGTAATTATGTAACCCAAATGTTTTGCTAGAACTCAGCAATGAATCGTAAAATATCAATCTTAGTATCGTGAAAATGATATTTTGCAGAGTACACCCACTATAAATCGTGAATATTTTGTATTACGATAAATCTAGAACATACGATAATATCACGATCATTTTCAACAACGATTAATAGCGATGAATCGCAAAATAAAAAGTCTATTACCGCTCAGAAAAATGTTTACAACAATAAATATCATCAAAAGGATGATGGTTTTGTAACTATCCTAAAAAGTATCAAGCCAGTACCAGAATTGATTCTTTAATGGAATAAACACATTTACTAAAAAAAGTAAGCTTTATTTGTCACGAAGAGAAATATATCTTTAAAAAAAATCGAAATAAAAATGGAATGGAAATAAATTGGCATAGTTTTTCTAAAGATTATTCTTTAATTACGAGGACACTGGACCTTTAATTTTAAATATATATATATATATATTCTAGGTCTTTAAATACGAAGTTTCTTACAAAAGATAGTGGAAATTTGGTAAGAAATGTAATTATTTAAATTAGTAGTTAAAAAATTTATTTGCTTACAAATTAGTTTTTTTTTTAAACAAATGTTACTTGAAATTATTTTAAAATAAAAATATTTTTTTCATAAAACTTGATTTTTCTTCTTCTTTTATTTAAACTTATAATTTTTAAATAAATTGATAATTTTTCTAAGCCCTATTTCTGAGCAAATTTTTTAAAAAATTTACTTTTAAAAATTTCAGTGTAAGAGATTTATTTACTTATGCAACTATAAGAAAAAGCATTTAAATACATAATTTAGTATTTTTTTTTAACTAAGTACATTAAGTATCTTGTATGTGCATAGTTAAATGCAAAAAAAAAAAAAAAAA